TAGGCCTGTTTGTATGAAAACTAAATATAAAACTGAAAAGCTATGCCAAATGTAACTCTTAAAATGGTAGTATAAGGTAGATTATTCAATCATTTGTATCAAAAAATCTCCAACTTAAAGAAAACTAAAAAATAAGGTGATGAAGTAAAAGTTTGCCATAGTTTTTACGTAAACTTTCACATAAAATCTCATTTTGACATAGAAAATGCATTGAAGGATGTGTGTGCGTATGTACTTATGTGTTTATATTTAATTGAAGTACAGATTTTTAAACATATATTAGCCATTGTTAGGATAAAATCAATTTGTATCTTTATGGTACTAGTTTATTTAATAAAAGTTTAGAAAGCAAAGAGCAGTTAATAAAAACTTAGCTATAAGTGATAGGAAGTCCCAAAACTAGCTTCGGCAAAGAGGAATCTTTCTGGTTTACATACTTGCAAGGGAGGATTGAATAACCAAGAACAGAAGGGCAGATACGCAGGTGGCCTTTAAGAACCTTAGAAACCAGGGACTCGAACATGGCGAGCGCTTCTCTTCATCTTTTTTTTCTCTTGGCTAGCTTCATTCTCTCTAGCCACAGACCAGCTTTTTCCACACGGCTACTGACAGCTTGAGTTTTAAATTGAACTAATTTTGGCTTCAACTGTTTGGACCAAAGTCCAAAAATCCAAAGAAGAGAGACCTTCCCCTGTGGGTCTGTCAGCTGTGGCCAGATTTGTGAGAGGGAACTAAAGGAACACATCAGTTAGAGTTATAGCCATGCTGAGGAAACAGGAAATACCAGGGAGAGAGGTATATAAGCCAGGCAAACAGTTCCAAAGATGTATGCTACACTTCATGTAGTAAAATAAAATAATAAAGAAAAAATCAAGGAAGCAAAATTAGCATAAAACACAATTGAGAAAAATAGAGTGACATTTATCAGGTATGATGACAGACGTGATTGTATTTTAAAAAGAAAAAGAGAAAACCTCAAAAGTCAATATATGCCTTTTAAGCCAAACCTGAAACAAAGTGACACAGATTAAAAGTGAAAGGTGGGCAAAGACATGTTAGGAACACAGCAAATGAAAAGGGTGGATGACAATATCACTGTCAGAACAGTATCATAGGCAAATGTCAGCAGTTTCACATAACAGTAAACAACAATAAATAATACTCAGCTTAAAAGCAAGAAAAGGAAATAGCTCGGTACCAGAAGTAAAATGAATTCAAAGCCAAAAACCTCAGGGACACCATGAGGAGTCCTGGAATTATATATAAGCCTTAGATATTAGGGTACGGTAGGGGAGAAGTGGGGATGTTAAATCTAAGAAGAGACTGGAGACAAAAGCTTTAGGCCTGTGTGAGTTGCTTCTGGAATAGTGCTTCCTTTGGAAGTCTAATTGGAGAAGAGGAGCCTGGGAAAGAGGCTGCGGTAGAGAAGTCACCTCCGGGAAGCTGGCCTAGGCCTGTTTCTGTGTGCTCTGCCAGGAGCGGACGTGAAGACTTGCATAAACAGAGCTGTGCAGTTACCCGGTGGAAACCCTTAGTGTTGTGACTGTCACTTAAAGAATAATGTGTGTGAGAACTGAATGTTTTCTTCTACTGGAAGGTTTCACTCTAAGGATGGTCTCACCCTGTCAACTAATAACAGATTAAAGGGCTATAAAAATAGGAAGTGTAGAACTGGTTCAGAACTATTTGTGGAATAGAAAGTTCATAGTCATAACAAGTGTGTTTAAGGATGGAATTCTAGAGATGTATTTATAGGTTGTCATGGAGAAATACTCATTTGAATAAGTATGATATCAACTTAGTAGAGAGGTAATTTCACTAACGTATAAAAGCACAGAAAGATCCAAAGGGACTTCAACATAATGTTTATAATTATTATACTGAGATGATAGGATTATGGGTGTTTTTCCTTTTCATTCCTGTTTTTTCCCCTGAATTCTGTTTAATGTGTGTTTATTCAGTGACTTTTTTTTTGGTGGGGGGGAATGGTGAAACATTAGATACTTAAGCTTATGGCTTTCAGTACTTGGAAGGAAATTAATATGTCTTAAATAGTTTCATTATTGAGCAAGAAAAGAATGAAAATAATTAACAATAGTTAACATTGCTGTATAACGTATAAGAAAGTTGTCAAGAGAGTAGATCCTAAGAGTTCTCATCACAAGAAGAAATTCCTTTTTCTTTTTATTATATGTGTATGAGATGTATATGTTAACTTACTGTTAATTTCACAATGTATGTAAATCAACCCATCATGTTATACACCTTAAGCTTATACATTGTCAACGAAAATGGAAAAACATAAGCATTAATTCAAATTTGTTCAAGAACCAATAGGCCCAAGAAAAGTGGGAGAAAAGATTAATGTTTGGCTTGTTTTGTTTTGAAATAAATATGCTGAGGATTCTTACGAACTTCTAAAAAAGATTCTGAAGAAATGCTAAGATGGGCGAGAACATGAATCTGTTGTTCACAAAGTTTGAAATAAAGAGGATATGGTAGATAATTATAGGACTATTAAGTTCAGTTCTCTTAATAAATTGAGTATCATAATAAAATATTTTTAAACATAGAAATGGCGGGGGTGGGAGGTGGCGAGAAAAAAATAAAAGTTATCTAAGTCTCAGTAAGGTTCTTGCCCCAGGTAGTTTTAGGGACTAAGTTTTGAGAAATGTTTAAACAAATGATTTCCAATTAGCCGTTCTGGAGTACAGAAAAGGAAAGCATATACCCCAACCTGGGTCTTTTTGTTAATCTAGCTCATCCCTGCAATACCAGTTGCTGACATACTGAACAAAAATGGGTTGTTCCAGCCAATTGCTATAATAACTGTAAATGAAAAAATAAAATACTAGCAAGATCATATACTATTAGGCATAATTTAATGAAGGAATGAAAGAAGTGTTCAGTATTATAGTATTACAGTTTTATTTTAATAAATAGTGGTTCAAAAGAGGCAGAAAAACCTCAATTGATATTAAATGGCATTTGTTTTCTCTTTTTCTATGTTATTTCTTAATCTGATTATTCCAGTTATATCAAAGAATTATTGTTCCTTTAAATACTAATCTATGTCTGGGCTCTCTTCCCAGTCTTAACAGTCTTTTCAGTCGCGTTTTCAGATTTCTGGATGTGTGTATGTGCGTTTCATGTCTGTTATTTCTAATTAGATTGCAGTCTCCTTGCATTCCAGTAAGAATAAGCTGGCTATATTATAAAACATATCAGTCTCCTATTTGGAGCCTATCATGTCTGAAAAACTTGATGAATGAATGAATTGTGTTAATGAATGAGAATGTATGCCTTGCTTTGAGTGAGAAGGCTCAATGTTTAAAAGAAGGCAATTTTTCCTACCTATTTATAGTTTATGTGAAGTTTCATTTAAATCATTGTTTAGGCAAAGTGATTCTGAATATTTAATCGATAAGAATAATTTTGAAATGTTTTAAAGATTTACATAATGTGAGAGACTAGCAGTATTGATATTTATATTATTAAGTTTTAATAATCAAATTACTGGCATAATATTAATAAAACTAGAGTAAAAGTCCTGAAACTGTCTTGGTATGTGTGTGTAATAATTACATCTGTATGTGTAGGTGTATGTATAGGTCTGCTTATGATAAAGATGCCATTTAAATTTGTTCCTTCAATACAAAAATACCTTTTATTTGACTTAAAGAGGTAAATGGAAAAGTGCAAAGTTTATCTAATCTTGAGGTTGCAGAAGAACATCTTCGTATATAAACAAAGAACTTTTGGGGAAAGATTGTTAGATATAACTATGAAAATCAAAACATCTTTATATCAAAACTAACAACATCAAAACCAGAATTAAACACAAATAATAAAATGGAAGAGGGGGGAACTTTTTCTTACAGAAAAATGGGCAAAGAAATCAAAAGATAGTCAATAATATATACAAAAATATTTAAACTTTTAATAGAGATGCAAAATAAAATAAGCAGAGTAGCATTGGTTTCCTAATCAGAATGGTGGAGATACTGTAATTAATAATGGTCTGTATTGGCAAAGACATACTCCTTTGGGGGGATTATTTATTCATTCGTTTGTTTGTTTACGGTACTGGAGATTGAACCCAGGATCTCATGCATACTAAGCAAGCACTCTTCCACTTGAGCTATACCCTCCCCCACTAAGACATACACTTCTGATGAAAGGATTAATTGATGCAATCCATTTTGAGCATACTTTACTCTGTTCAAGAGCTTTTAAAATACAAATATTCTTTAATCCAAAAACTTAGTTTTTCAATTCCTAATAGATCACAGGGAAATAATCTTTTAAGTCTGTCTGACTGCATGAGGGAATGCTTACAGTTCCATAATGCTAAACGGAAAACAAAACTTAGAATGATTTTGATCTCAATTTATTTTTATACATTTAGAAAATGATTGAAAGAAATGACCAAAAATGATGTTCATTTCTCTTGGCAGTGGGAGTATCAGTTGTTCTCTTTGTTGTATTTTTCCTGTGCCCTCTACAGCGAATACGTCTTACCTTTATAATCAGGAATTTTGAGGGGCAGAGTGCTTAGGGTTTTTTTCTAAATAATGAAAAAACTGGAGATTAAAAAAAAATCCTTTTTGTGCTTGACCTATTTTTATCTCTACATTTGAATTCTGCATGTGATCCCATTAGTAAAACAGAGAAGACTGATAGTGAATATTGTACTTTGGGACAGTTTATGAATTTTATATGATCAGCTCAATATTTCTACCAATTTATAAAATCTTCAAAATGTTCTTACCATAGCAGTATGCTTTTTACTTGAGTATCTAGCACATTTCAGAGGCTCAAAAGATGTCTTAAAATGGATCTCTTTTAAATAATTATCCTGTGATAATAATTAACATTGTATTCCCAGAGTGTGATCCTTCACTGGACCTACCCATCAAGTTTTCTATTTGGATGAGTTTATTCTTTTCCAGTGAACTTTTTTATATTATCTTACAGTTATCCATGTTTGTATTTGGCAGCTATATTTTCTGCTCTGAAGAATCTTCAAGATAAAATTCGACGTTTAGAACTTGAAAGGATTCAGGCAGAAGAAAGTGTGAAAACCTTGTCTAAGGAAACAATTGAATATAAAAAAGTATTGGATGAACAGATACAAGAAAGGGAGAATTCAAAGAATGAGGAATCAAAACACAATCAAGGTTTGTTTAATTATGAAGGAAATGAAAGACTAAGTGGTATAAAATTACTCTCAAAGAAATTCCACGTTAGTGTTTCCTAGTGCTCAGTGTCTTTGAGCACTACAAAATGCAGTATCGGGGTGCGTTTTGACGAGCAAGTGCTGATGTCCTGCGTCACATATACTGACTAGATTCAAGGCAGATGGGAATGACTTCGGTCATCTGAAAAGGCTTCCAGAGCTTCTGGAAAGTGCTATATATACTATAGATTTAATTCATGTTAAACAGCTTGTTAAATCTATTGAGTAAGCTAATTTCTGCTTTTCTTATGTATTCTTTTTAGAACTGACATCTCAGTTGTTAGCTGCAGAAAATAAATGTAATCTTTTAGAAAAACAATTGGAATACATGCGTAATATGATAAAGCATGCAGAAATGGAAAGGACTTCTGTATTAGAGAAACAGGTATGTTTCCTCACAGATTCATTCTCAAGTGAGTTATGGAGAAAATTGGATGGATATAAAGACTTTTTTTCCTCAGTGAAAACTGATGATACTGTTACAAATAATCAATTCGCCTTCTATCTTAAAAGAGTTCATTTTGAAAAACTGCTAGTGGAAGTTTTGAGAAAAATGTGGTTTCTTTTTTCAACAAAGCTTTAAGGGGAGTTTCCTTTTTGGACGACCCTTAGGCGCACTGCCATCCTCTGCATGCAGCTTTGATAGCCTCTGCTTTTGCACAGCACAACAGCCCAGGACTGAAACTGCTTCAGATCGTTTATGTTGTCTGAAGACTTGATGGGTCTTCATTGTTACTGCTGTATTTGGTAGAGTTTTACTTAAATGGGAAACATACTGTATGTATAATTGAGTCTCCTTTTCAAGTTATGTTAACTTCTGTGAGTGTACATTATAAAAAGTATAAATAAGCATATTATGTACCTCTCTGCCTCTTGAATTTGTTTAAAGACTGCAGTAGGTAGCACATTTCAGGATGTGAAAAACCATTTACAATTGTTATGTTAACCGAAATGTTTGCTGTGTCACACCTGAGGTGTTTTACTTAAGTAACCTACACATTTGCCAGAGGATGTCTGCAACATGAGTCTCGAATATATTTTTTAAAACACACCTCCCTTTCCTGTTATGAATCTAGAATTGGAATTCATCATGAATACCACAGTTTCTGGGCATCTTAACTTTATCTTGTAAAAGTTGAATGTTTGTGTGCTTAACATTTTGCTAGATACTGTGCAGTGTGAAAGGAATTAAATGCTTTCTACCTCAGTCAGCTTTCAGTCACAGTTGGAGATATTAGACCTAAAAGAAGTATACTTCTTACTGCACAGCAGTATTTAAGAGGATGTTTCAGTAATTAATTCTTGTGTGTGTTATAGGTCTCCTTACTGTACCATGGAGTTTATTTGTAACCACGTTTTTTTTGTTTCCAGTTGGGTCATCTTCAGTTTGCCTGTTTTTGTTATTTTAATGTATCATTACTTTGATTTTTATTCTTTTATCTCTTTGAACACTAAAAATTCCCAGTCTTTTAAAAGTGATCTGATTTTTTTTCTTATGAGAACTGTGTGTGTGTGTGTATGTTTTTGGTGAGCTCATATTCTTTCGAGTTGTTTATATTGGGAATTCTGAACTTCAGAGTTGTGTGGGTGGTGCTGTGGATTTGACTTTGCTGAGGCTTGATGGGTTTGCCTGGTTTTGGCCCTCATTTATGGTAGTTTGTTGGCTTGGGGTTCTTGCATTACGCAGATGGTACATTGCCTGAGATTTATGTGGCTACAGTCCTGCCTCATGTAATATTTGGCTTCAGTATTCTTTCACTTGCTTTTGAGTTCTTTATCTATTTTGCATCTGGAAAATTCCCTTTCTTGTCTTCAAACTTGCTCTGTAATTACGATTTCTGTGTTTGTCTAACACTTTTATGTGATAGATGGGGTGGGAGTCTGCCACGTAACTGAAATGATGAAACATACACAGTAATCTGGCAGTTGTCATCATTGGGTAGTCCAGTTCTCAGGTGAGAAAGCATTCACAAGACTACAGTGAGATATCTTGATTAATATAGCTATTAGACATATATAGTATATGTCTTTGAATTCATCCCTGTTTTCATCAAGAAATTTTAAATAGCCCATTTTTAATAAGAATGCTTTCAGTACTGGAAATAAAATATGATTTGTGCCAATTTTAACTTTATTTTTTAAGAGCGGTAACTATCCACTAAGGTGGATAGGAAGAAATTAGTTCACACAAATTCCTGAGAAAATTACAGCTTTATATTACTTCGTCATTCAAATTTCTGTCAGTATGACACCTATTGCTGTAGACTTGTACATGAAGATACACTGTTTACAAGTTCACGTGCTTAGCGTTTGACTTTTTTACCAGTAGACCTCAGTCTAACATATTTCTGCTTTTTATCCTGATGTAATGGATTATCCTATGAGTGTCTATCCTGAAATCTGATAGGTGGCAGTATTTTCGAATGCTTGACCCTAAACCTGAAAAAAAAAGTGATGGATGTTTTGCGTAGAATTTAGAGAAGTGTAAATGATAGATACCAAAACAATAATTACTCCCTGAATTAATAGATGAACTATTTAAGAGGTTAATTGTTAAGTATTTGTGTGTAGCCTGTATGTCTGGTAAATGTCTGCTGTCGTGGAGTGTTAGCAAGCCTCACTACAGGGAACCAAATGTTACAACAGCAGTGTAAAGTAAGAGCAGGGTTTCACTTGAACTTACTGATGTTCTTTTGGCTTCGCCTTAATACTGTTTTCCTAGAACTCCTTTGCAGTATCTCTGTAGCTCTGTGAAAGGCCAGACAGACAGCATACAGCATACTATGCTCAGTATTAGTTGTTTTTCTTTTTTTTTGTCAAATTATCATGCTGTATTTAATATTGTTCCCAGGTTTCCCTAGAAAGAGAACGACAGCACGATCAAACACATGTTCAAAACCAACTTGAAAAATTGGACCTCCTTGAACAGGAGTATAACAAGCTTACCACGATGCAGGCCCTTGCAGAAGTCAGTCAATGTCTGTTTTACTTATCAGTGCATAATACTGGTTCTTTTGTGAAATTGATCATTTTATAATTCTGGATATTTTATAGGAAGAATAGTGACCTTGTAGCAAAGAAACATATAGGAATTTTTTTAAAGGAAGAAATGTAAATTTGGAGAGAATGTCCACCTTTTACAATCTTAAGGTACATGAGGAAGGAGTTCTTTTTAAAAATGTTGACAGATTAAATGTTTTTGAGTATCCCTGAGGCTTGTATCACTTGATTTAAGTTGTTCTCTGAACTACTTTTAGTTTTAATTGATTCACTTGGGACGTATTTAATACCACTGAGACTCTAACGTTCCAGCTTCAGCTTCCATGTAGCCCGTCTGCCTTCATACGGAGCTGTGTTCTCTGGCCATAGATTTTACCCATAATTCTGTTCAGTTACCTCACAAGTGACTCATAATAAATAGAATGATAGAGTGAACTCACAAGCTTATATTTACTCTGCTAAAATCATTTGTTGCTTGTATTACAAATTTGCAAATAGACACTGAAACTCTTTTCACTGTTACCACTTTTAATGTTTTTATTGCTAGAAAAAAATGCAAGAGTTGGAAGCAAAACTCCATGAAGAGGAACAGGAAAGGAAACGTATGCAAGCTAAGGCCGCCCAGGTAAGCTGAAGTGTGCGCAGGTGGGCTCCTCACGTTTTGTACTGCTCTCTCTGTGTAAATACTTCAGAGTGGCCCAGTATATAAATTTGCAGACTTAGCTTAATCTGAAAAATTATAAACTTATTTTTATACTTAGAAAGTAAAAGTTGAGCAGTTGTTTAGGGTTTTTCACATTGTGGGCTTTTGACCAGCATTTAAAAAGTCAATGTGGACTAAAAAATATTAGAGACTATACACGTAGTCTCTAATACACAATCATGTGCAGCGTCTCACATCAGTCACTGTCAGAGGTGTTGGAAGGCCTTGTTCAGTGTCCTACTTACTTTTAAGCGCTTCCCGAGTTTTTTGGTGGCCTCGAGACTCCAAGACAGAAGGTGTAGTGAGCTGCCCGGTAGGTGGTGACACATAGTAGATCACAGAAGCTTCCATGTAAGGAGGATGAGCTCTGCTCATTCCTAGTCCAGGATTTTATCCTCTGCAGTGGCCGCCAGGTAGAACAGATAAGGCAGTGCGAATGCATAGAAACGCTGAGTATGTACCAACCAGAACTGCATTTCTAGAAGATAAGCAGCATTTCTGTCCCAGTAAATCTTACTTATGGGCCAAATAAAATACTTCTGTTTATAACTGAAGTCTCTACCCATATAAGCTTATTTATTTAAGTACCTCCCATGTATTACCCTCCCCTTTCCAAAGTCTTTAAGTTTTGTATCATTTATAAGTATCTTTTCTCATAATATTAACACAAGAATCAGGGCCTGATTCCAAAAACCGTTAGGAGTGGAGGCTCTGCAGTTCAGACTGTGGCCGGATGTCAGCGGTGTCTGGGCTCACTTCACACATGTGCTCACAGGACTGTAACATCTACTATCTCATCTTTATTTTCTTGTCTGTTTCTTCCACTGCTTCCCCAAATTTATGAACTTAACGTATTTTCCTTCTCAAATATGTACCTTCTGATCAGTGTGTATGTGTTTTTTACCTCTGTGTGCTTTCTGAGTTGCATAGCCATGTGGTTTTATTTTTGAGATTACTTCTCTGTCCGTTCCACTTCAAGGTAAGTAGGCCACCTTTACTGCGTCCCGTTGCCTAACCTATAACATGCAGACTTTTGGGTTGTGCTTTATATAAATTGTAGTAGTGAGTTCTGTTGTACATGAAATATAGAATTAAATAAGTTCATTATTTTATGAATTAAAAAATTACTTTATGGTATTTTTGTTTTGTATTTAGCAGTCAAAAAATGGAGACCGAATCAGTGATTACTGACAATATAATATCACTAAAGGTTTTGAATTCTGATAGTGAACACTGCTGTAGGGGAAGAACCAGCCAGGAATGATATGTGGTTCCAAGTCTAGCTAACCCTAATTTGTGTAGTCTTGGACAAGAAATTAACCATTCAGAGCTTGGGTTTTACCACTGATAAAGTGGTGTTCATTTCACATCTTCTTTATGTTGGAGCGATGAAACAAGAGAAAAGATAATGGAAGTACTTTAAAATGTTAAAACTGCCACACAAATATGTGACAACTGCTGGGAAGAACTAAGCTGGAAATTAAAATAGTTCAGAAATCTTTTATCTTATATGCTATTTAAACTCATTGTCGGGGAGGATATAGCTCAGTGGTAGAGCGCATGCTTGGCATGCACAAGGTCCTGGGTTCAATCCTCAGTACCTCCATTAAAAATAAGTAAATAAACCTAATTGCCCCCCCAAAAACAAACAAACAAACAAACTCATTGGCTTCTTAGGTCTTCCACAGTAGTAATTTCATGTTCATTGAATTATATCTGTTTGATTTACTGTGTATAAAGCATCGTGTGGGAATGTAGATATTCATGAGAGTAGAAATCCCTGTGTTCCTTTGTCACTGAATAGATTCTATCCCCAAGGAATGCAATCGTTATGGTAAGTATTAGGAATAAACTCAGTATTTCTTATAACTAATCCATTGGTTCTGAGTGTTTGAGCTGCATCTTAATTTCCTGAAGAATTTTAAAATACAAATTTCCCCAGCCTGGAATGTTTAAAATCATGAGGTCTGGAGAGGCACCTGACAATCTTAATTTTTCTCATAAACCCCAGACAATTTTGATACATAGGCAGATTCGAAACCACTATTTTAGACAAATAAACGCGCGCGCGCGCGCACACACACACACACACACACACACACGTATATGTGTATGATTATATTTTTAAAGGAAAGTTGAAAGTTGCTTTAGGGAAAACAACAGTCCTTGTTTGAAATCCTTAAGAATTGCTTGTGGAATTTCTACCATATTAAATGAATGTAGTTAATAAGCTTCTAGAGAAAAGGGCCTGATAACATTTTCTGACATTCTTTCCAGTTCTTTTGGGCATAGATTTCTAGTTCATTTTAATTATAAGTGTATGAATTTTTAAACGAGGAAGACTCTCCAGCTGCTTTGTGTCTGGCACTGTTGTATATGCCGTCTGTGAAAAGAACAAAACATTAAACATTGGTTTGGAGTTAGAAATGTTGCATTTAACTCATTAGACATAATTTAAGGACCAACCTCAAATAACAGAGCTGAAGGGTTTCAGGCTGTGAAAGGACAAATTATATAGCACAGCACTTCAAGATAAAAAGACTGATAGTGATTTAAAATATCTGACAGAGGTTGACAGATTGGTTCAAGACAGTCACACGGCTATGATGTTTTTTCATCTGACACTACTGTAGGTTTTTACAGGCCTTTTACATAGCAAACTCGAATTGGGGTCAGCTTTTATTTCTACAGTATTAACTTTAGGCTGTCACATTTTTCCTAGTTGCAGACTGGTCTAGAAACAAACAGACTTATCCTTGAACATAAGGCTACTTCATCTGTTCAGAGTCCGAAAAGAATTAAAAAAAAGAAGTCAAAACCACCAGAAAAGGTATGAAAACAGAACCAGTAAGTCAAAGTGCTGATTATTACTTGGCGTCATTTATGTGAAAACACTTACACACCATGTGGTACTTCACCGTTGACTGAGTACATTTCTTACATTCTCAGTTTCTTCATTAGGAAAATGGGGGTAAGTAATACCTACTTATCAATTTTCACCCTAACAGTGAGATAATAAAAAAAAAAAGGAAAGCATTTTAGAACTACGTAGCACTGCACAGGTACTGGTTGTTAATATTCAGTATTGTGTTGATTACCTTTTGTTCTTAAAAATTTGTGTGTGGATATACGTACACACACGCCCTGCTTCTCTGTTTAGACTGTAACTGCTATTTTGACAGGTACTATTTTTCTTTCCTATCCTTTCCTAGACTAGGATGCGTGTTGAGGAGTATTATTAGGAGCTCCAGATCCTAGTGCCAGTAGAGACAGTAGCCCAGCAGTAAGCTGGAGTTTCAGCTTAGTCATGTGTAGTCAGCTTTTATCATCATATGACTATAATTGCTTTTCTTTCTTTTCCATTCAGAAAGGCTCTAAGAACTACTTTGCTGCACAACCACATTATAGATTATGCTTGGGTGACATGCCGTTTGTAGCTGGAAAGGTGAGTTGGTTGAACTCAGGATTTTTTTTTGGACAACCTAGATCTTTGAATTAAGTTCGCTCATCTGCCTTTATACCTATAAATGGTGGTAACATTTTCCTGCTTCTATACCAATATGAATTGTAATTATGTGAGAATGAGATGGAGGAAAGTTTTATGGGGTTGGGGGGAGCAGGGAAGAGACTAGGAGGACACTTTAAAGCAGGGAAGTTACGAACAAAAGCAGACATCCTGGCTTGGAGAAGGTGCGGTTGCAGGTAGGATCTAGGGACTGTAGGAAGCAGTATATTTGTAACCTTGCATTTTTATTGAGAGCCCTGTTGATTTGTAATTAGATAACGGATATTTAAATGACTGGAAATCACATCCTCTTTGTCCTCATGTATATATTACTTAATAGGATTCATTCTCCAAGAAGCAGTCATACATAGACTTGAATCCTAAGTTCCTTTAATGCTTAAAAATACAGAGATCATTTTTTCAAGTATCAGCAAGTACTGGGTGATTTTTTTTTCTAGATGAGTTTTTTTTTAGTATGTGCTTTTTTTTTCAATTGAAGTATAGCTGATTTACAGTGTTCTGTTGGTTTCTGGTGTAGAGCATCATGATTCAGTTAGACATATTCTTTGTCATTGTAGGTTATTACAAGTTACTTGAATATAGTTCCCTGTGCTATACAGTAGGACCTTTTTTATTTATCTTTTTCTATATAATAGTTTGTATCTATCAGTCCCACTAAACTCCTAATTTTTCCCTTCCCCTCACTTCTTTCCCCTTTGGTAACTATAAATTTGTTTTCTGTGTCTGTGTGTCTGTTTCTGTTTTGTAAATAAGTTCACTTGTATCATTTTTTTTAGATTCCACATGTAAGTGATACTGTTATGGTATTTGCCTTTCTCTGTCTGTCTTACTTCACTTCCATGTTGCTGTAAATGGTATTATTTATTCTTTTTTATGGCTGAGTAGCATACCAGCGTCTGTATACCACATCGTCTTAAACGAGTCATGTGCTGATGGGCACTTGGGTAGTTTCCACGTCATGACTATTGTAAATAGTGCTGCTATGAACATTGGGGTGCACTTATCTTTTAGAATTAGAGGGTTTTGTTTTGTTTTGTTTTGTCTTTTCAGGATATATGCTCGGGAGTGGGATTGCTGGATCATATGGTTAACTCTGTTTCTGGTTTTTTAAGTGATTTCTAGTAAGTGCTTACGTGTGTTAGCTTATACCACTTTTCATTAATGTCTGTGTTGCTGGTTGTTTCATGTGTAGATGCCTTGAATCCCCATCTAGATTGTGAGTTTGAGAGGCTTTAATTTTCTTTCTTTCTTTATTTTAATCCCACAGTAAATCCTCAGTGAAAGCTTGGGGAATGAACTATTTCCTGGCTCCCATTTGCCCTTTGTAGATGTAATGAGGCACAAATCACTTTAAAACTTTTTGCCATTGGCTCCATGCTGTCCTTTACCCTAAATTTAATCTTTTGGATTGCAGACCATCTTTTGACCTTTGTTATTTGTTTTATCTCTTGCTTCTAACTGTGGAGCCATTTGGTTTCACTTTGCCATAGAATCTTTGAGTTGCACTGGAAACATAGTTTCCCAAAGGACATCAGAGTCACTGACTGTGCATTTGGAAATGAGATTACGAAGCCCCGCCACTATTCTACTAGATCAGAACTTTCCGAGTGCAGGGGGGAGAACGTGTTTTGAGCTGGTCCCCAGCCTCCGTTTAACGTTCAGTTAGATTTAGGGCCCACTTAGCACCCTTCCCTGTCCAGTGGTTTCATTGTGTGAACATCCAGAGTAACGCTTGTGTGCTCTGTGCAGACACATCTACCTATGAAACCTTATTGTACCTCAGACAGCCCTTCACATTACTGGATGGCTTTATTTGAAAGGTCTTAGTGAGATGAAGTCTTTCACTATAAATTCTATTCATTGGTCTGTTTTCTGCTCTCAGGGATCCAATAGAAGAAATGAACCCTTGACTATAGGAAGTTTAGAAACTTTTGAAGATAGCTTTATTTCTATTCTTATCTCCTTATTCTAGTTACAAATAACTGTTTTTTCTTCAACATAAGATGTGGTTTATGAGTTTCTTTACCACTTCATTACTCTCTTTCTCCCTAAATTGAATATAGCCCTCTAAACGTGGTGTGACTAACACAGAACAGACCCTTGGTCATGTTCTGGATAGTCTGTTAATTCAGCCTAGCATCACATTAATGTTACAGGGAAGCCACAGCATCCCTTGCACTCAGCAGTTGTGGAGTCAACTGAAGTCACAGACCTTTTCCTGAATCTTTCCATCAGCTGCTCTAGGTCCTATACTTGTGGAGCTGATTTTTTTTATACAGAATTTTTAATCCAATGAAGCACTATAGGAACAGATTCAGTCTATCCCACATTAGATTAGAATCTAGTTCAGTCTTCTATTACATTTGTGTTATCCTCAAATTTAATTGCCTATGTTTGGTAATTCTCACTGTAGTCATTGATACAGAGGTTGAACAGGACAGGATCAAAGACAGGGCTTTTCAACCTGAGCTCTTCTTTTGAAGTTGTAATTTGTACTTTTGTGAAATACTATTCAAACAGCTAAGAATGTGTTGTCATCTGAGTGTTTCTCAAACTTATCTATGGTGGAGAACCAGTTTTTATTTTTAATTATACATTGAGATAAACCAGTACATTTGTAAAATGCAATAAAAATGAATTACTAGGAAGAATGAAACCTAAAAGACAAAATACAAGTTCCAGTTTTTTTATTATTAGATTCAGCAGACAAAGTTATCTTAATACAATTGGAAAAATAATAGGAAAAAGAATTTCAAAAACTATATACTGTTTATTGAAAGTGTATTTACAGGCAATTAGTATAGTGAATACATACTAAAAGTTATGGGCAAAATAGTGATTCCCCATTCATTCGCACTTTAAAATGAATACCATGTATATAAGCATTTAAAGTTACTGAGGCAAGTGAATTTGGTTTTTGATGGTATTGATGACAGTGTACTTGCAAAGGAGAATGTATATCTAAACCATTTAAATGTAAGTGAGTTTAAATTATCTAGGTGGAAACATGGATTAACTTTTTTATTTTGAAATGATTATACAGATTCATAGCAAGTTGAGAAAAATACAGAAAGATCCTGTGTACCCTTCACCCAGTTTACCCCAGTAGTAACATATATCAAGTACAGTATCAAAACCAGATTAGCATTGGTACGATCCACAGACCTTACTCAGGTTTCTCTAGTTTTGCATGTGCTCCTGTACGCACGTGTGTACGTGTGTAGATACGTCACTGCAGTTTTATCACATATAGGTCTGTGGCACCACCACCAGACCACATCTGTAATTTCACAATGTTAAATAAATGGCATCATGCAGTATGTCACCTTTCGAAATTGATTTCACACAGCATAATTCCCTTGAGATCCATCAAACTTGTTCTATGTAACCATAGTTCTTTCCTTTCTGTTAACTGAGTACTATTCCTGGTGTGGATGTACCACAATTTAATGATTCACTTGTTGAAGGGTATTTGGGTTGTTTCCAGTTTTGACATTTACATATAAAGCCAGTATGAACATTTGTGTACAGCTTTTTGTGTGGGCACACCTTTTCATTTCTCTGGGATAAATTCCCAGGAAATTGATTGCTAGATTGTATGGTAAGTGTATGTTTAGTTTTTAAAGAAACTACCCAGCTGTTTTTTGAGTGGCTCTAACATTTTATATTCTCAGTAGCAGTGTATGAAAGATACAGTTTTTCCACATTCTTAGCAACACTTAGTATTGTCACTTACTTTATTGTTCTGATAGGTATGCTGTGATACCTCACTATGGTTTTAAATTGTTCCTTATGACTAATGGTGTTTGAACTTCCTTTTCATGTACTTATTTGTTGTATATCCTCTAGTGAAATGTCTATATATCTTGCCCTTTTTAAATTGAATTGGTTGGTTTGTTTGTTTTTACTATTAGGCTTTGAGAGTTCTTTATGTATTTTACACACGAGTCAGATATGTGTCAGATATGTGGTTTGCAAATGTATTCTCCCAGTCTGCAGCTTTTCCTTTTTATGCTCTTAAACTCTTTCACAAAGCAGAAGCTTTACGTTTTGGCAAAATCCAGTTAATTCATTTTTGTTTGTTTGTTTGTTTTTGTGGATCATGCTTTTGGTGTCGTGTCTAAGGACTCTGCCTAGAAGTATGTCCTCTCCAGTCTCTCTTACATTTTCATCTGTGTTTTATACTTTTATATTTTACATTTAAATCTATGATCTACTTGAAATAATTTTTTGTTTACAGTATGAGGCTTTTTAAGTCAAGGTTTATTTTTCATTCTCTTCCATTGATGTATGTGTGCACCTGTTTGCCAGTACACTGTCTTGATGACTGTAGTTTTATATGGTAAGTCTCAACGTTGGGAAGAGTTATTATTTCTCCTACTTTATTCTTTCTCAAAATTCTTTTAGCACTTCTAGTTCCTTTGCCTTTCTGCGTGAATTTTAGAATAAATTTCTCTATTTCCAAGAAAAGTCTTGCTGAAGTTTTGATAGGAATTGTATTATGCCTATCAGTTTGGGAGAATTGACATCCTTGTTGTGTTGAGTCTTTCAGCCCATCAGAATTGTGTGTCTTATTTAGCTCTTTGATTTCTTTCATCAGTGTTTTGTGGTTTTCATCATATTAGTCCTAAACCTGTTTTATTGGCTTTATATTCACATTTTTTGAGCAGTTGTAAATTTTGTTGAGTTTTAATTTCAGTCTCTGCATGATCACTGCTAGTGTATTTGGGTTTTGTATGTTGATCTTACATTCCATGACTTGCCAGATTCACTTATTAGCCCTCAGAATTATTTTTTGAATTGCTTTTCTGTGTAAAGAATCATGTCCTCTGTAAATAGGGATAATTTTATTTCTTCCTTTTAATTTGTGTGCCTTTTATTTCCTTTCTGGCCTTTCTGCACTGGCTAAGGTTTCCTATATTATAAGAGTGGTAGGAGTGAACATCCCTGCCTTTTTTCTGATCTTCAGGGGAAAGCATCAGTCTTTCACCAGTAAGTGTGATGTTAGCTGTAGGTTTCTTGCCCATGCTCTTTGTCCACTTAAGGAAATTTCTCTCTGTTCCTACTTTGCTGAAAGTTGATACCCTTAATTGGTATTGGATTTTTTTCACATGCTTTTCTTCATCAAATGATATGGTTATGTGATTTTTCTTTTTTACCTTGCTGATATGCTGTATTATTACATTGACTGGTTTTCAAATACTGAACTAGCCTTGCATTCCTGGAGTATACCCCACTTGGTTGTGATGTGTACTTCTCTGTGTATATATTGCTGGACTCAGTTTGCTACCTAACAACAAAAACTAGGATACAAAGAGCATCAGTTTAGCTTAGCAGGGTGGCCTTTGCAAACCTAGCTGATCAACCTAGCTGATCAGAGTCAACTGGCGGACTTTTAAATAAACATTTCTAAGCCTTGACAACACGCTGGTTGAGTTTTGGATGCCGCCTAGGAATCTGCATTTTAAACTGTCTGGCTGATGCTTGTGGAGCCAAGTTGGCCCAGCCATGTGTTTGTAATTGAAATAGCACATTGAGATTATTGTTTAGTGTTTAAAACAAAAACAGAAATTTTGAGAAGGCTACCAGGATTTTCGTGTTGTGTGACAGCCATGAACTTAGTGCTTCTTACTATTTGAGGACAGAGACATGAATACAGTAACAGTCCCTACCACCTGGAAGTACGTACACTATTTAGTAGGTGAAATAGACATGCAAATGCAATTATAATATAAATGCTGAGATAGACATAAATGCTGTAGGTGATCTGAGAAGGACCAATTAATTTTACCTGGAGGTTTTAAGAAACGCCTTATAAATCATATATTTGAACTGGTTTTTAAAAATGATGTAAGAATTGGCACTCAAAAGAAATGGCACTCGCAAATACAGTTTATTCAAATGATGGCAAGCAATTAGGAAACAGTGGGACATGAGGCCAAGGAGTAGAAGTTGCAGGTCAGTGATACAGGGCCTTGTTTTCTGTGCCGAGGAGTTCGGAGATCAGAGTCAGTGGGCTCAGCATCAGAGAATTTCAAATAGGAGAACAACATGATCAGAGTAATATTTTAGAAGGATAGCTGATAGCACTGTGGAGTTAGAGAAGGAACAGACTGGGAGCAGGGGGACAGTTAGGATGTTCCTCCATTGCTAATAGAGATGGATGCATAAGCCAAGTGAATGACAGGAGGGAGGAGACTAAGAGGCAGATCAGAAATATAGGTTAGGTCTGTGGGACTTGGTAACTGATTTACTATAGACTAGGAGGTTTGTGTCATGGGCTTTTGTTGTCAGGGCAGAGAGGGTCTTTTTACCCATGTGAGGAGATAAAAAGAAAACATTTCTAGAGGATGTGGCTTCAGTCACTAATTTTCATTTTTCTTTAGTCCACCAGCCCCAGCCATGCCGTGGTAGCTAATGTTCAGCATGTCTTGCATCTAATGAAGCAACACAGTAAAGTCCTGTGCAATGATCGGGTAGTCAGCAGTGTTCCTTTGGCAAAGCAAGTATGTTCACGAAGCAGTAAAAGCAAGAAGTCAGTGACGCCTCCCTCCTCTAGCAGCATTGATGAAGAGCTGGCGGAAGTCTTACAGACTTTGCAAGATGAGTTTGGGCAGATGAGCTTGTGAGTTTCAGTTTTTTGGCTTTTTAATTGCGTTTAGTTCTAAAACCTCGTTTTCACTTCTTAGTGACTTTGTTCTATCTCATATTTCAATATTTCAAGAAATATTTGTTGAACACAATCCTCGCACCAACCACTGAACAGGTTGCTAGGACTTTAACAAATACAGCTGTTCTGGGTGAAATCTCTCCTTTTTCTGTTACTGTTAAATGTTTTGAAGACCAAGGTTTATATTTAAGTTTTATTTCCTTGTTTGAGAGCTTGATAGACATTGAGTTTAGCTACACTCGACTGATAAGTTAGGACGCGAGTGAAGAACAAGATCCTTCTCTAGACATTGCTTTTCTGCATGTGTAATGCTCTTGTCAGGGAGGTAGAAATACAGATCATTAGCTCTTTGAAATGAAGAACTCTTTTTGCATTTGCTTCCAGTGCCTTTTTGAACTTTTAAACTATCACTAATAATATGGACATTTTTGCTCTGTTTAAAAAATTGAGTCTCTTCTTAATGCGCAGAGCAGTGGTCCCATGCTGAGTGAGATGCAGTGGACTTAACCAGGTAACAAGGGAAACTTAACAAAGCCCTCCTTCTGTTTTTTACACAGTGATCACCAACAGCTTGCAAAACTTATCCAAGAATCACCGACCGCTGAACTAAAAGACAACCTAGAGTGTGAACTGGAGACATTAGTGGGAAGGATGGAGGCAAAAGCCAATCAGATAACAAAGGTTCGAAAATATCAAGCCCAGGTAACGCCATTTTCCTTTACTCCTTTCTAATGATTAAAAAAACAAGAATAAACCAATTGAAAAAAAATGTTTCTTCAAATATATTAAGTGCTGACGTTGTGTGTCACAGACAGAACACTGCAGGAACTATTTCCTTACTGTAGACCTTCTTAATTCAGTTCATTAATTATTGAGAATTGGCGCTAAGCAGGCTAAGACAGTGTTTTAATCTCTTAGAGTAGATTTCATCATCTAAAATACATCTTCCAAGTATTGAGTATATTTAGTATTCTTATGTGAACAGACTTTAACATCTGTGATGAATTTAAATGGTTCTAAGTTTACCCAAGTCTTTAAAAGCACCTAGAAATTCTTAATTTCTAAAGGAATAAATCAGATATAAATATCTGATAAAAAAATCTGGTAAAAAAAATCTTTAATTATATTTATATTACTGATTACATTAAATTAATAAAACAACTGTTTGTTTAGTATCCACCAAGGGCTTTCATCCGGAGAGACTGATGTTAAGAGATTACTGTGACTGCTGGGAGGAGGGTGGAGAAAGGATAGAGGCGGAGAGACGAACTAGGCCATTTCAGCTTTTCTTTATCCGAGGTCTTTGGGGACTGCAGCTGGGGAGAAGTGGACAGATTTGAGGTGAGTTTTGGAGTAGAAATAATCAGGGTTACTTGGTGCTGGATTGATCACAGGCAGGGAGAGGATGATGGTGCAGCTGACTGAAACGGAGAAGACAGGTAGCAGAACAGGTTTCACTGACATGTATCAGCTGGTTGCTGTGTAAGAGGCATAATGCTGAGTGCTTGGAATATGTCATCTCAATTTTCATGGAAAGCTTATGAAGTGAGTATATGTATCATTTTATAGATGAGGAGACGGGGGCTAAAATTCCTGGCAGGCAGGCATATCCTACTGTGAAATGATGTAACTTGACGGAGGACATACTGCCTGCTCACTGGTAAATGGCAGAGGTGTGATGCAACCTTGGGTCTTTTCAATTCCAAAACCTCAGCTTTTAAAGCATTTTTTCTAAAATTCACATCTTAGGAAAAAATAAATACATACAAGCAAATGATTCCTGTGGGAGTACTGATCTAGTTTGTTTCCTGTAGGTTAGATTTAACTTTATGTTAACGGAACACCAACGTGCCAGCAGCTAAAGTAAAAATAAAGTCCCCTATTTGAAACTAAATTATTCTAAAAATAGTAAAATAAAATTAAAAATCCTTTCATAGTGTTAATACATTGCCATTATATCCCTTCATCCGTCTGGAACGTGCTGCTTTGTCTGCTCAGACTCGTTTCTAAAATGCCTTTCTCCTCCTTCATTTGTTCAAATCCATCCTCTTTCATTTCCCGTTTCAGGCTTTTTGCCTTCTCCACGAAAGACTCTCCTCCAGACCCCCGTGTTTCCCCCTCACCCTGTTCTGCACTTTGGCCACACTGCCTTAACTTCACACACAGCACCAGAACCGATGTGTTTACTCCTGATTACATGTTTCTACGTCACTGTGTATTTTAAACACTGAGTGCTAAATAACTAGTGCAATAGATTATTGAAGCCTTTAAAAAAATAAACCCAGAATACATTACATGCCCTTTAGTTAGGATGATAGTTTAAAGTACCAGTTTTCAGAAGAATATGCTGTCATTAGTTTTTCCTTTTTTCCCTACCTCGGTATTTGGTGTAGCTGGAGAAACAGAAGATGGAGAAGCAGAGGAGGGAATCAAGAGCCACCAGAAAGACTCTTGGTGAAGAGGGAAACAGCAGCAGCCGTTCTTCTGCAACCACAGGGACCACAAATAGGAAGGACTTTGCCAAACCGAGGCCTGGAGAAAAAAGTAGGAAAAATCTTCAGTTACTGAAGGACATGCAAACCATACAGAGTTCACTACAGAGCAATAGTTTGTGTTGGGAGTACTGACTGGTACCAGGCCATAAATTTTATTCAGATAATTTGTACCTCATCCATCAGATGTTGACAGTGTACTTTCCAGGTCTCATACTCACTTATGTTGGGATTAATTAATAGCAAGTGTTAAGGGGCCCAAGCTTCATTACACAGGCTTCTTGTGCTAACGTATCACAACTAGATGTTAAACCATCTACATGGAAACCAGGGTAGTTTTAAAGGCTAAGAAGCCACACATACTCTGTTCCTTTGTTTGAGATGAATTTGCTGTACTGAAATATGCACTTTGTAAACAAATTACCAATTTTTTACTTGTGGGTGTGATTTTTTGAAGTAGTTCTATATAGCTAAGTAAAATTAGGTTGAAATGATCAAAACATGAGGCTGTCTCATAGGCAGTGTTTGAAAAGTCTCATTTTTAAATCTCCCATCTTCCCCTGGCATGGATCGCCCATTTCTCCTTTCCAGTACAACCATTAAATATACTTTGACAATTGATGGAGGTTTTCTATATTTAAATATTTATACATATTTAAGAGGATTGTTTTGTTTTGCTTTTTTGACATTTCAAACATTCATCAGTATTAAATATACTTACATTGACATTAATCTACCATTAAAAATTTTTAAGGACTCAAGCATTTTAAATCAGTTAACTGAAACTTACAGAAGCATTTTTTAAAGTATAAACAAAATGTTAATAAAGTAAATGAGGTTTTGGAATGAAGAGAGAATGAGAGATGTAAAGCATATACATTTGTATTTTTAAATAATACCTGTTTGTAATCATGCTGTTCAGTTCAGGGCATTAAGGTTTTTAATTTAAAACTTAGAAGAACCCCTTGGATATTTACTTTTATTGATGTACAGTGTGAGTGCAGTAATAACTACACATGCAGTGGTCATTATGTTAATGTAAATCATAAATTTGAATAGATCGACATGTTAAATTTTTATAAATTTGCTACTGAAATCAATAAAGCAGCTTTTTTGAGGAAACACCGAAATTTTCCTTAACAGCCTGTTAATAAAGGCTTTATTTGTTGTAATCTCTCAAAAAATGTATTTTTAAATAGGACATTAACATATGATGAGAAACATTAAGAACATGTTGTACGTAATACATAATTTACTTGCCTTTCTCATGCTGACGTAGAAGCGAGGCCCAACAAGACTGAATTCTATCATGGATATGATAAGAAACTCTAGGAGTACTAATGAACGTGTTAACTAGATTGTAAAGAGATTCCTTTTTATGCCTCCCCTGGGATTGACATGGAGATCTCAGATTTTATCTAGACAGCCAGCATGAATTGTGGTGGCTGCCTGGGCACTAAGCTTGTTAGGTGTCCTACTGAATTAATTGTCTACAAAGTGCTTAACTAAGTATTCTTAGATTTGGGGGTATTTGTGAATTTCCTGAAATTGCATCTACACTTTTGCTTGCCTGTACACTTTTCTAACTTAGTAAAAAAGGTGTGTTTACAAGTCGGCTGTAGACATCTGAATCATGCATTTCAGTACAGTGTGGTGGTGGCACGTGCACAGTGCTGTGGTGGCACAGAAGGAGGTGGGGCATGGCTGAGAAGGGAGTGCAACAGGGCTTACTTCCTCGAGGAGGAAATGTTGTCTAAACTCTATAGAGAACAGGAATAAGCCCCAGGGAGAACAGTCCCTGGTCAACAAGAGAAAGTGAACAAAAACAAGAAGGCGGGAGTCTGCACTCTGCACGGGAGGACTGTGACCAGTGGGCTAGCACTGTGCACAAAAGCTGAGCTGTGCAGATGAGAACAGAGGGTAAGCAGACAGCGACGGGAGGCTAAGGAGCTTTGACTTAGCCACATAGGTCTCTAAGTGTTATATCCCTCATCGAAAAGGGAAAAAGGACGCCTACACAGCCAGTATCACAGGTGAAGTTATAAAACGTACAGTTGTCAACTCAGAGTTTTGTTCGTGTAGATAAATATATAAAAAGTGCTGACTGCCCTCCCTAGCTTCCATGCACACTCAGTGGATTATCTTTTTCTTTTTTCTTTTTCTTTTTTTACTTTTGTTAGAAACATCTTTATTACAGGTGCTTTTTTTCTTAACACTTCATTACATGCATTACAGAATGGGTATCACTTCCAGTCCCTGAAATGACACTCCTGAACACAGCTTGAAAGTAGCTTTGTTAGAATCATCTTTATTATAAGAGTCTTTTTTATTGAATAATTTTGACATGGAACATTGTGTAGCTTTGAGGTGTGCAAATGTGTTACTTTGATATTGTGATATGAGTGCCATTGTAGTGATATGTATCCCATTCCGTAAAGTACAGTATTGCTGTCTGTATTCACTAGACCATGCATTATCTCAATGGCTTATTTACTACTTGTTGCAAGTTTGTACCCATAACATCAGTTTTATCCCTACAACCGCTATCTCCTGGTAACCACCATTTTACTGTCTTTTATGACTTTGACTTTTTTAGATTCTACCTGTAAATGAGATCATACAGTATTTGTCTTTCTCTGCCTTATCTCACTTAGCATAATGTGCTCAGAGTCCCTCCATGTTGTTGCAAATGGCAGGATATCCTAGCTGTTTCTCATGGCTGAGTAATACTCTATTGTGTAGATATACCATGTCTTTTGTATCTGTTCATCTGTTGATGGGCATTTGGGTTGTTTCCATATCTTGGCTGTTGTGAATAATGCTGTAGTAAACATGGGGATGCATATATTGTCTTTGAAATGCTGTTTTCATTTCCTCTGGGTATTTGCCTGGAAGTGGAATTGCTGGATCATATGGTAGATCTATTTTAATTTTTTTGATGAACCACCCTACTGTCTTCCATAGTAGTTGAACCAGTTTACATTCCCACCAGCAGCGTACAGTTGACTCCTGAACAACAGCATTTCCACATCCACAGATTCAACCAACCTCAGATCATGTAATACTGTAGTGTATATTTACTGAAAAAAAAATCTGAATGTAAGTGGACCCACACAGTTCAAAGTTGTGTTGTGTCAACTGTATAAAGTTTCCCTTTTCACCGCATCCTCACCTCCTGTTTCCTCCCGATGGAAGCCATTCTAACAAGTGTTGGGTGCCATCTCATTGCAGTTTTCATTTGCATTTCCCTGATGATTAGTGGTAATGTGCATCTTTTCATGTACTTATTGGTCAGTTTGATGTCCTATTTGGAAAAATGTCCATTTAGTTCTGCCCATTTTTTAGTCAGATTGGGTTTTTTTGTTAAGTTGTATGAGTTGTTTATATATTTTGGATATTAACCCTTTATGTAATACATGGTATGCAGAAATTTTCTCCCATTCATACGGTTATCTTCATTTTTTGTTAATTGTTCTTTTGCTATGCAGAAGCTTTTGGTTTTGATATGGTCCCATTTTTTTTTGCCTTTTTTAATAACATTTTTTATTGATTTATAATCATTTTACAATGTTGTGTCAAATTCCAGTGTAAAGCACAATTTTTCAGTTATACATGAATATATATGTATTCACTGTCACATTTTTTTCTCTGTGAGCTACCATAAGATCTTGTGTATAATTCCCTGTGCTATACAGTATAATCTTGTTTATCTATTCTACAATTTTGAAATCCCGTCTATCCCTTCCTACCCTCTGCCCCCTTGGCAACCACAAGTTTGTATTCTATGTCTATGCGTCTGTTTCTGTTTTGTATTTATGCTTTGTTTGTTTGTTTTTTAGATTCGACATATGAGAGATCTTATATGGTATTTTTCTTTCTTTTTCTGGCTTACTTCACTTAGAATGATATTCTCCAGGAGCATCCATGTTGCTGCAAATGGTGTTATGTTGTTGGTTTTTATGGCTGAGTAGTATTCCATTGTATAAATATACCACTTTTTCTTTATCCAGTCATCGGTTGATGGACATTTAGGCTGTCTCCATGTCTTGGCTATTGTAAATAGTGCTGCTATGAACATTGGGGTGCAGGTGTCATCCTGAGGTAGGGTTCCTTCTGGATATATGCCCAGGAGTGGGATTTTGCTTTTGTTGTTTGTGCTTTTGACATTATGTCCAGTAAGTCATTACCAAGACCAATATCTAGGAGCTTCTTCCTTTCTAGAAATTTTATGCTATCAGGTCTTATGTTTAAGCCTTTGATCCATTTCAGGTTAATTTTGTGAATGGTGTTGGGTGTTTGATTTCACTGTTCTGCATGGGTTTCCCCAGTTTCCCAGCACCATTTGTTGAAGAGACTGTCCTTTCTCCACTGGGTGTTCTTGCCTCCCTTGTCAAATATTAGTTGACTGTATATGTGGGATGTAATTCTGGGCTCTCTGTTCTGCTGATTGGTCAAAGTGTGCTTTCGTACCAGTACCATAGTGTTTTTATTATTGTGGTTTTGCAGTATAGTTCGAAATCTAGAAACATGATGCTTCCAGCTTTGTTTTTTCCCCTTAAGGTTGCTTTGGCTGTGTGTGTGTGTGTGGTTCCACCAGAAATTTTTTATTGTTTCCTCTATGTCTGTGAAGAATACCTTTGGTATTTTGATGGGAACTGCATTGAATTTCTGTAGAAGGCTTTCGGTAGTATGGGAATTTTAACAATGTTAATTCTTCTGATACATGAACACAGGATATCTTTCCATTTGTTTGTGTCTTGATTTCTTTCAGCACAGTCTTGTAGTTTTCATTGTACTGATCTTTCTCTTGGTTAAAGTTATTCCCCAGTAATTTATTATTATTTATGCTGTTTTGAGTGGGATAGTTTTATTTCTTTTTCAGATGCTTCACATTAGTGTAAAGGAATGCAACTGATTTCTGTATGATGATTTTGTATCCTGAACTTTGCTGAAATTGTAGATTAGTTCCAACAGTTTTTCAGTTGACTCTTTGGGATTATCTATATATAAAATCGTATCATCAGCAAATAGCCAGTTTTACTTCCTTTCAGATTGGATGCTTTTTCTTTGACTTGCCTAATTGCTGTAGCGAGGAATTCCAATACTGTAATGAATAGGAGTGGTTAGAGTGGGCATCTTTGTTCCTGATCTTAAGATGAAAATTTTTCAATTTTTCTCCATTGATAGTTATCTGTGGGTTTGTGGTATATGGCCTTTATCATATATGTTGAGGTATGTTGTTTTATACCCAATCTGTTAAAAGACTTTATCATGAAAGGATGTTGTTTTTGTCAAATGCTTTCTCTGCATCTATTGAAATGATCATGTAATGTTTCTTTCATTTTATTGATGTGATGTTTTACATTTATTGATTTGCATCCTTGCATCCCAGGGATCAACCCCACTTGGTCATGGTGTATAATACTTTTTATGTGTTTTTGAATTTGGTATGCTAATGTTTGGTTGAGAATTTTTATATCTATATTCAGCAGAGATACTGGTCTATAGTTTCCTTGTATCCTCATCTGGTTTTTGATACCAGTATAATGCTGGCCTTGCAGATGAGTTTGGCAGTGTTCCTTCCTCCTCAGTATTTTGGAACTGTTTGGAGGAAGACTGGTATTAATTCTTTAAGTGTTGGTTAGAATTCACCAGTCAAACCATCTGGTACTGCAGTTTGCTTTGTTGGGAGTTTTTTGATTGCTGATTCAATGTCTTAACTCATTATTGGTCTGTCATGGAGATCTCTCAGAAATCCAGGATGTTCCTGAAGAGCAGTGGCACCCTCCAACCGCAGCCGGCAAGCTGGGCAGGCTTTTACTCACCCCGCTGACTTTCCACCTCCCCAGTTAGAGAGGTTGCTGCCGCCGCTGCCACCACTGCTGCTGCCACCACTGCTGCTGCCACCAACCACTGCCTTGGCTCCCAAGCTTCGTCTGAGGTTCAACCCACTCAGTTTCGGATACACAGATGGATGGATCTCTCTCAGCTGTTCTGGTATGCCGTGCAGGGGCTCTGTTGTCCAGTTATGGATGTCCGATTAGTTCTAAGTCAAAGAGGAAGGAAGCACTCATGCTATCTATGATGCTGGTGTCACTAAAGGATTGTTACTTAATTTTGATTTACAATGCTGTATTCGTTTTCTGGTGTACAGTATAGTGATTCAGTTATATATACATATTCCTTTTCATATCCTTTTTCATTACAGGTTACTACAAGCCATTGGATATAGTTCTCTGTGCTATACAGTAGGATCTTATCATTTATCTATTGTGTATATAGTAATTTGTATCAGCCAATCCCAAACTCCCAGTTTATCCCCCCCTCCCTCCCTTACCCACCTGGTAACTATAAATTTGTTTTCTATGTCTGTGAGTCTGTCTGTTTTGGAAGTAAGTTCATTTGTGTGGTTTTTTTAGATTGCATATATAAGTGATATATGATGTTTCTTTTTTTGACTGACTTTCTAAACTTAGTATGATAATCTGTAGGTCCATCCATGTTGCTGCAAATAACATTGTCATTCCTTTTTATGGCTAAGTAGTGGGGACACACACACACACACACACACACACAAACACACACACACTTTCTTTATCCATTCATTTGTT